TCTTCACTTGTAGTATGGTGACGACATTGCTCTCATCTGTGGTAGTCCACAAATGTGCGAAGCTGCACTGTACAGAGTATCACTAGCGGTCAGCCGTTTCGGACTTTGCTTTTCACCGTCAGAGTACAATGCTTGCTTCCAAGATTTGCAGGGACTACTTCTTGCGCTAACCTTTGGTTGTGGTCAGCCATAAGTTGTTTAGAAATTTGAATACGTAGACAATCGTATCAGCGCCTGTGGAGTCGAAGACAAGGTCGCGGACCGTATAGCAAAGCTCGAGGGGCTTTCGTTAATGTTCGCCACTTATGGCGGCGGAGCGATATCACTCTCTCACTGAGTGTACAGTGCAGCCGTACGTTCGATCCTACGGTACGGATGTGATACCTGGCCCATTAGATCGGCAGACGTAAAGAGGCTAGTTACCTACGACCGCCTGTGCCTTCGCAGTTTGGTTTATATCTGGTGGCGACACTGCGTGAACAATGAGCGTGTTGGCCGTCTTGTTTATGACACAGGAAGTGGAACTGAACTGTGCAACACCGTTAAATCACGTGCTGTTTGTGCCAGTTAATTGGCTTCCTCAACTTGCGTCGTTTACATGCTCAGGGTGAGGATGAAAGAAGAGGAAGGGGTTTTACCTGACACCATGGTCGAGAGAAATCAAGACGCTCTTTTAGAACTTGGGGTCAGTTGTACCCTCTCGGCTTTCTGGTTGGGGTACTTAAGACGATGAAATCTTTTGGCTGGATACACTTGTTGACATGGCTAGGAACCGACCTCAAATACGTTTGTATTACGAACTTCATTGTCCCTCTCCCTCCCGCTTAGGCTTCCCCTACCACGATCTAATTTGTGTCGCATGATTTCTCTTTTTCTCGGTCCAGCAGCTGACCGCCATTTCTCCGGAACCTTGCCCTTCCGTTTTCAAGCTGCGTCTTTTTCCCTTCTCATGTTTTGCTGGTTGTGAAAGTAATATCGCCGATGTATATATATATATATATATATATATATATATATATATATATATATATATATATATATATATATATATATCTCGGCGGTATTACTTTCACAACCAGCGAGCTAGATTATCTTGACTCCGTTTGCCAATGAAACGATCGGTCAGAGCAGCCCTCTGTTCTGTGTTTTCCGTGGCTCATAAAACTGCTGTGTAGTTGAGACACTCAGCTTTAAGCTGTTACAGGTTGCGCTGTTGATTGTACTACGGTGATAGCTCCGTCGTTTTATGATCGGAAAAAATAACATAAAGCAGACCTAAAAAAAGACATTTGACACCTAGTTCTGATGGCCTATTTACTATCTTGCCACACAGGCCCAGAGCCAATTGGAGCATGGAAGTGCGGGTGAAACCCGTCGTGGAAATACCCCGCATGGAAGCAAGTCCCCTGGGGACAGTTTCATGGATGACCGTATTACTTTACTTGAACTTTCCGCAAAATCTACATTTATTATTGTTCCCAGTTTCTTTATCTCTCTATTTTTTCCAAACTGCTAATCATTTCAAAAACCTATATGGGAATCATTGATCAAAAGACGAATAACTATATTATGCGATCACGTTGTACATGTTGAAAAGACCACCCAATAGGTCTGTGCCTCGCACTGCTGAGGAATAAACGTTTATTTATTTATAACCTGCTACTACGCAATTTTACCGCCCAATAGAAAGTCTGCTTGATTACAATCGCTTTTATGTTTCATATTTTCTACGTTGATTGGGCGGTCGTTAAAACAGTTTCTAAACTCAATGGGTTGTCTGGAGAGGCCCTGGATGGTTTTGTTGTCGTCAAACACGTAGGAGCTTATATCAGTATTTCCTTTTCCCTTTCCCTTTCCCCCTCTACATGCAAATCTATCAATACGCTATCTTTGATCTAAAGGCAATCTTAAGTGAGGTGCGTAATTATTTGATTGTGTGATACGCGTTCACTGTTTCCATTAGACAACTTATTAGTTTTTCTACGTTCACTTCATATCTTTCTCCGTTCCAGTGATAGCGTAAAGTACTGTAACTCTACACCTACCCGAGTGCAGGAAGCCTACTGTGAATTGATTTAATCAAAGTTTAAAATACTTACTTTCCTTTAGCAATTTGAAAAGTGCGATAAGAAGACGAAAGCAAATAGCTGCACACATCTCGTGTTGTCTTAGTACGATTGACAACAACCGGTATGCAACCATATATTTAATTATGGGTATGTCCAAATAAGCATAAGGTGCAAAGTGAATGACGGAAGTTTCAACCTTATGTCCATGGTAGCCGTAAGCTGACAAATAATTGTTTTTGAACACACAGAGCTTGCTCCGGCTTATATAGCAGTAACCTTGGCGAAACGGAGAAGGCAGAGATCAGAGTGATGTAAGATTATTGAGAACTTTGATCCAAGCTCTATCCGGTGACTCGTAACCAGTACATGATTATCTGTTGGAGAAGTTATCGGCCTGCACCAGCACGGAGTTTCAAGGGACAGGGTTGCTGTTCATTTCCACGTTGAACCCATGTTGGTCTATTTTCTTTATTCAGGAAGTCAAAGACCGATCAGTCCCGCCTAGGTAACTGTCTGCAGTTACACGCGAACTACTATACACAGTAAGAGTTGGCAAGTTACGTGTTCGGTTAATGACCACAACTCGAGCAGCATTTTAGTTTCTATACGTAGCATAGCTTCAGCGTTTAGTGGTTCTTATCACAGTATAGTCATCTTTGAAAGGCAACTGGATATAGAACACGTTTGGCTGGATACACTTATTGATATAGCTAGCAGTCGACCTCAGTGGCGTTCGTGTTGTAAGCTTCTTTGTCTCCCCCTCTCACTTAGCCTCCCCCTCCAACTACGATCTCAATACATATGCATAATATAATACTTCTTTTTGCGGCACAGTAGCCGGTTGTTAGCTCTCCGGAACAATGTCCATCCGTTACTGGGGACTGAGCCGTCATGCCTCTGTCGCATTTTTTTCTTTAGTATTGCGGAGGTGTTTCCCACCTCTAGCTAACGCGTACAGATCTTTTTCTTGGCTGTCTTCCGAACCTCGCTGTTAGCTTTAGTATCTAAAATCTGCCACGATACCCGTTCGCCATGGTTTTCGTCCTCGGCCATACAGTCAGCCGAGCGAATTCGTGTCCGTTTATACCACACTGGTATGAGGATCGTAAAGTGTGAATATTGGCGGGAGTATGTTGCTTTTCAATAGATATTACTAATGAGTCCGTCGTTACTGCGACATATAAGAATGCCTAAGAGTGACAAACAGCTCTTTCCCAATTCACAGGTGAACCACAATTTATCATGTACGCTGTTAGGCTCCTCCACCAACTGCACAATCTGCTGCTCCGACGAACAAAATTCTGCCATGTCATCCACATAACACTTGTAGTATGGTAGCTTGGCTATTATTCTAGGTATACCTTTTTCTATTATAACGAATTATCAAAGCACATAGTTGAACTGTATCTCGCACTATCGATAATTTATATATATATATATATATATATATATATATATATATATATATATATATATATATATATATATATATATAACGTCGACAGTGCGCGATATACAGTTCAACTACGACATCCGGTTTCGGATTTACCTGTCACTGTGGACAGCCACAGGACGCCTGCACCTACAGTGGGACCATGGGTGGCTTGTGCTGCACCATCCACAGCTCCAACCACACACCCCATATCCTGTGTAAACCCGAAGGAATAAGACCGGGAGGCATGTGGATGGGAGCCACATTTCATCAACGGAGCCGGCCCACACTCCTTCACAGGCAAACACAAGCACGCTGAATTTGGGGAATCAAGCTCACACAAGGCGGTAGCTGGACCGTAGTCCGCTCCACACTGAGTGCATGGAACCACTCTTTGATCCTAACACGGCCACAAGGGCCGTGCACCCCGTCACCGCCAGCAACGACCAACTGTCTCCTGGAGTCAGTATGGCCGAGGTAGTGGGTAATAGGCAGGTAGGCACCTTGTTAATATGCACATCAAGCGCAGCCACACCGGAGATATCAAGCGTCAGCCAATCACTTGAAACGACAAGATGGAATAAAGTAAATCCAATAATACATAGAGATACAATGACATAACTTTTCGCTAAATTAGCATATGAAGTATGTTGATTAGCAACGAATCTGCTATAAGTAAAAGTGTTCGCAAGTTAATCCAAGAATTGCTACAAAAGCGCTAAAGTTAACGAAGATAAGCGCGATTGGCGTTAGCAACATGTGCAAGTTAATAGAAGATTATTCAGCTAGGCAGCACAAACCAAATAAAGTGGAGTGAAATTTATCCAACTTAAAAATCATGGTTTAAGTGTAAGTTGGTTTGGCCCAACTGCGGGGAAGAAGCATCACGAATGCAATATATACATAATGACCGGCGACTAAAGGGCCTTATGAATCGCCCATCGCCCCCCCCCCGTCAATTTGACAGTATTGCGTGTTCTGAGTGGCAGCCAACATTGTTAGTACACAAAAGCAATGACTCCTTTTTAAATTCATCTGACATTCGTAAGGAATAACCAGCTTGTTCGGATGTTCCGCATATGTAATCAACAGTGTAGTGTAACGGAACATTGGTGGAAAGTGATTCGACATCCGAAAAGCACGACCTTATCGGACGTGACTAAAGATGTTAGACATTTTGAACAAATTCCCCTGCTCGCATCACGTTGGCATTGTCACCACCTTTCCCATGCAGTCGGTTTTGGTCAGTGTTCCATGGTGACAGTACTTTGTCAGTGTTTAGTATTTGATCAGAAAGCAATGTAACCAATTGCACTCCCTTCTCACAAGTACAGGGATTGAAACTTTCTGAAAGTTGTTAATTTATTTTCCTTTATTTTTCTTTACCTGTCTCCACAGTGTCCAATGCTGTTGTATGTGCTGCTCTGATATCAACTTAACTAGGACCTCATCCATGCTTCAAATTTGTTATGATCAGTTTATTTTTTTCGTTACTTTCAGCCAGTCATGTGCAACCTGTTGTGACACGTGTGACATGTTCGCCACCGTAGATCGATTTTCCACAATCGATTGGTGCAATTATCTGAACCGTTATTGGTGAAGCGCCTGACCGGTGAAGTGGTTGATATCAAATGGACTTCCTGGGCTACCACTTGATGAGTGTTTCGAGTCCAGATACCAATGTACTTGTTTGAGCTAGCATTGTCTTTTGCCTTGTGTATTGTGGCCTCACAAGATGCAGAAGCATTGGACGCTGAATGTGCCTCAGAGTCTAAGCTTACACGTTTGGACTGTATTCCAGAGAAGAACGCAAACCAAGAGTGGTGTATTCACAGGGGTTGTTGCTGGTCCGAAAGAAAGGACGACGATTTTGGAGTTCCGGAATGTTATTTCCCTTCTGATTATCCCGCACACAAAGTTGTTTCTGTGACTCAGACGTCCACTGGATATTTTGTCAATTTGACAAAACCTTCCACGGGTTATGGAATTAACGAATTTCAGAATGTTCTCTTAGAAGTACGCTACGAAACTAAAACCCGATTAAGATTGCGGTTTACGATCCCATCTCAGCCGGACCGATGGGAACCTCCGATTCCTTTAGAAGCTGCCGATGATCCACCACCACAGATGACCGATTATGGTGTGGAGTTGGATAAATCACCATTCGGATTACGGGTGAGTGTTTTTGTAGACGAAACCTTGAAGTTGCTTTTCACCTTTTCTCTTTTAGTTATTAATATTATTTTATTTCTTCTGAAAATACATTTACATCGTCTATCGGATACTATATAAGCAGTGTTTGCAGACTAGTCTTGTTGTCTCATATAGAAGCTGTTGAGATGATGGAGCAGCCATTACGGTAATCTTCAAGAATACTTGGAAAACCACCATCTATGTATGTATGTATGCGGTAGATGGTGAAGGAAACCTTTCCTACTTCAAGTCGCATACAGCAGCGGTTTAAAATGCGGGATGCACCCGAACCAGTCGCGGTGGTTCGCGGTAGTTCGAAGATGTTCTTTGGTACACTTCAATTATCAGACCCATCAGACCATGCTTGCGGTTCGCCTAAGTGCGAATCAGAAGAGTACATCGGACAATAGTCTCAGTTCTATTGTAGGTTAAGCTGAATGTGCTACGGACAATGTCATAGTCATGGAAACTCCGTCGTTAGACGATCGCTGCATTAGTTTGCCATCCCATCAAGTCTGCATGATTCCAATCGCCTTTATGTTTCCCATCCGTTAGTAATGCTCAGTAAGGGAAATAGGACTTGCACAATTCCAAGGCCTATCTGTTTCTCGTCCAGTATGTGCCTTTAGGAGAGCTATCTGCCGATAGCAGCTTTACCAATCTGCTTTCACCTGTTTCAAACCAATCTTTGGTTTTAACTCTCAACGACTAATCATTTTTTCCCTTGTTTTTCGGTCGCCAGACATCTCTCGGACTCCCGTATGATTTGGCCACAGTATATTTGTATGATTGTCCGCAACTGTTCCTAGCTTAAACTCTTTGGTTACAATGAAGATCATTTCTCCACTTTGCATTTTGATACTCATATTTGTCTGTATATGCACTTTAGGTGGTTAGCTGACGAATAAGCTATTTGGGGATGTAACACCCCGAAGGTGACTGTTATTGCCCTAATCTGTGACTGCTCCCAGATGTGCCAAGCAGCACTGGACAGATTCAATAAGTTGATGCGCATTTTGGGACTGTTCAGGAAAAATGTGCCCGATATATATGTATATATGTACATGTATGTATATATGTATATCCGTATATATATATATATATATATATATATATATATATATATATATATATGGCGGGAGAGCCTATGGTGCGCTGAGGCTGGTGGTGGCTAGACCCTGACAGATGGTCTACCTGCTGCTGCTACTGTCGCGCCATAGTCTCATGGCCTGGGCGCCTCCACGTGGCGACCGCTGGGTATGATTTGGGTTTCGCCCTTCTCCCTGCTAAGATCCAGGACACCAATCCGCATGAGTCGGCTAACTGACCATGTGCTAGACCCGCTGCCTTTCGGGTGTATATTTACTCGAAGTCTTTGGCTGAGGACCCGAGTCGTTCTCCTGTCAGGTGTGGGCACCCTGTCATTATCCTAGTTTATCCTCTTCGGAGGTTAGGAAGTGGTCGATGGCCCTTTTCCCGTAAAACATAGCCATGGGAGACAACAGGTTTACGGGTTATAAGCTCACAGCTCGATTGGCGTAGAGCACGAGTGTCACGCATTGTCTCTGACGGTGGGAGGACACCTCCGGGTGTTCAATGGTTTGCCACTGCCCGTCTCAAGTCAGGCAGCCCCTGGTCAAATTGGTGCAAACCCGCCAAAACCCACCTGCGTCTGGCCGTGGTCGCAGATGCGTATACAATTACGGTCGCAAAACATATAATACTTGTTCCAATACCTCAAAGGCTGCGTGTGACGGCCGTCAAGCAGATCCCACTCTGTCTGCAATTCACATTCCTGAGCTGGATCTGCTCTCCACTGCCTTGTGGGTCAGGCTATTGAGCCAAATGCTCTGGGCGGAGTCCCTCAAGCAAACCTCCAAATCACCCACTGCCTTGTGGGTCAGGCTATTGAGCCAAAGGCTCCGGGTGGAGTCCCTCATGCAAACCTCCAAATCACCCACTGCCTTGTGGGTCAGGCTATTGAGCCAAAGGCTCCGGGCGGAGTCCCTCAAGCAAACCTCCGAAGCACAATGACCACCTCGCGTGCGATTGCCCACCAATGCAATCGTATGGCTGCGCGCAAAGCACTCAGCATCGGGTGCTGGAACGTGCGCACACTACTGGACCGGAACTCCAACGAGCGCCCGGAGCGACGCACTGCACTGGTCACGATGGAGCTGGCGCGCTGCAACATCGATATTGTGGCGCTCAGTGAAACCCAGCTCGCTGAGCAAGGTAAGTTGCATGAAGCAGGTGCTGGCTACACATTCTACTGGGTGGGCAACGCCGCCTCAGCTCCACGTGAACATGGGGTCGGATTTGCAATATCCGATCGCCTCCATGGCCAGCTGGTGGGTGAACCAACAGGCATCAGCGCGCGACTGACGACCGTTCGCCTACGACTCGGAATGGGTAAGTTTGCTACTTTTATAAGCACGTAATGTCCGACCATGTGTTATCCTGATGACACGCGTGATCAATTCTACACTGAGCTATCCTCCGTGATACGGTCTGTACCGAGGAGCGACCGACTATTGCTGCTGGGGGATTTCAACGCGCGCGTTGGGCGTGAGGCATCAGCGTGGACAGATGTTATCGGTTCGCATGGCATTGGTTCAGCGAATGCGAACGGTGACAGGCTGCTCTCACTCTGTGCCACTCACGGCCTGACGATCACGAACACTCGGTTTGCACTGAGTGCGAGTGATATAGCAACCTGGACGCACCCACGGAGTAGTCACGCTCATCTGCTCGACTATGTCATCGTACGTCAGCGTGATATGCGTGAAGTGCGCATGACACGTGTACTGCGTTGAGCTGAGTGTGGCACTGATCACAAGTTGGTGCGAACCGAACCGTACATATATTTTCGTAAATCGATGTATTGCACTCCCGCCGTGAATCGGCGTAAATTTGACATTCTCTCCCTCGGTACTGTGGCGAAACGTACTGAGCTGGAGAAGGCGATGGCTGCACGCCTGTTTGGTGATGTGGACTGCATAGCCACAGTGGGCGATCTGTGGCACCACATTCGCGACCAGGTGACAGCTGCAGCTGAGGAGACCATCGGGCGCGCAAACTGTAAGCGGCCTGATTGGTTTGATGACAACAATGAGACGATCGGCGCATTGGTGTCGGAGAAGAATGCAGCGTTTGCTGCACATGTTGCAGATCCCAGTGACTTGGGGAAGAAGAGTCAGTTTCGCAAACTTCGACGGCGACTGACCTGAGAGCTCCGTCGCATTAAAAATGCATGGTGGACGGAGAAGGCGAAGCAGATGGAATGTTACGCCGAACGCCGTCAACACAAGGAATTCTTTGACTCCTTGAAGGCGGTGTATGGACCGAGATTGGAGCCGCTGAGGACGCTGATCGACAGTAGTTCAGTCGCTACCTGCCCACAGACTGCAGGCATAATGCAGATCTGGCGGAAACACTTCGACTGTCTCTTGAACAACCGTTCAGAGATCGACTGGCCTACATTGAACAGTCTTAAGCAGCACGATGTGAAGGCTGAGCTGGCGGATACGCCGACACTGGATGAGACGCAGAGAGCACTTGCTCAGCTGCGAAACGGCAACTGTGCCGGAGCCGACGGGATCCCGCCTGAAGTATTGAAACACGGCGGACCCGCGTTGTTGACTGCGCTGCACCACTTAGTGTAACGTGTATGGATTGAGGAGGAGGTGCCTCCTGAGCTGAAGGATGCCCTTGTGCTACCACTGTACAAGGGCAAAGGTAGCAAGCAATGTTACACGAATTATCGTGACATCAACTTGCTGTGTTGTGTGGGCAAGGTGATTGCCCGAATCCTGCTCAATCGCCTCGTGAGCCAGATTGTGGAACCAAACGTGGCGGAAGAGCAATGTGGATTCCGTTCGGGTCGCAGCACTATAGATATGGTGTTTGCGGCTCGTTAGTTGCAACAGAAGTGCAGAGAACGACACCAGCCATTGTACTCGCTTTTTGTTGATTTCACCAAGTCATTTGATACGGTGAATCGCGAGGCATTGTGGCTGGTGTTTTGTAAGTTTGGTTGCCCGCGTAAGTTTGTAAGTTTAATTGAATGTCTGCACAGTGGTATGCGAGCGAGGGTGCAGCTGAGTGGAGAGACCTCGGATGACTTTGCAGTTGTCTCTGGTGTGAAGTAAGGCTGTGTCTTAGCTCCTGCCCTGTTTAATATATATCTTCATGCAATGTTGTCTTGTGCTTTTGATGCGGCTTGTGCTTACGGTGTTCGTGTGGAGCACCGCATTGATGGTGGGTTGCTGAACATCCGTCGTTTCGCTGCGAGAACTCTAGTCTGTGAGACAACTATCTGTATGTTGCTGTTTGCTGACGACTGTGCGTTGTTTTCATACAGCGCGGATGAGTTGCAGCACATGACTAGTGCTCTGGCTTCGACAGCGGCAAAATTCGGGCTCACTATCAACACAAGCAAGACGGTCTCTCCCTTATAGCCTTCACCGGAGGTGCAATCTTCATTATTGCCGCAAATCAGCATTGGTGCTGAAGTATTGGAAACCACCTCCCGCTTTTGCTGCCTTGGGAGTGTGATTTCGACTGATCAGCAGCTACACGTTGAGCTGCTTATTCACGTGTCGAAGGCAGCGGCAGCATTCGGGAAGCTTGAGTACCGAGTGTGGAACAACCATCAGCTTAGCATTGGCACGAAGCTGATGGTGTACAAATCCATGGTACTGTCCATTCTTCTATACGGCAGTGAAACGTGGATGATGTACCGTCGGGATGTGCGATATCTCGAGCGGTTTCATCAGCATTGTCTGCGACGAATTTTGCGCATCGGTTGGGGCGCCAGAGTTGCTGACACGGAAGTGTTGCGCCGAAGTGGGATGTATGCAGTGGACTGCATACTTTTATTGAGATACCTGAGATGGCTCAGTCATGTGTGGCGTATAGATTCGACTCGGATACCGAAACAACTCTTATACGGTCAGCTGAGTATTGGGAAGCGGCATGCT